GGTACTGGGGGCGGTGGTACTGGGGCAGAGGTACTGTGGGCGGTGGAACTGGGGGCAGTGGAACTGGGGGCGGTGGTACTGGGGGCGGTGGAACTGGGGCGGTGGTAACAGGGCGGTGACGGCCCCCAGTGGGGCCTGGGCAGGGCCTGGGGGTATTGTCTTCCCTTGGGGAATCCCAGCCCAGGAGGCGGGAAAGAGCGGAGCCTGTGCTGGGCCCACAGCTGGTCATGGAGGGGGTGGGTGGGGGAGATGTGGGAGGGGCTGGGGCCCAGGGGTGGAGCCCTCGGGGCAGCCACATGCTGGGCTGAAGCTTCTCGCTCCAGGGGTCAGTGTCCTGGAAAGACTGGCCGGGGCTCTCCCTGGAAAAGGTGCAGGAGCTGGAGGCCTGGGGCTTGAGGGTGGGCTGGGTTGGGTCAGGAAAAACGCTCACAGCTGCTGCCGCCTTTCAAGCTTGAGCAGGTTGGTCTCTCTCATTGTGTGCATGTGTTTATTTTCCTCTTTATTAGTGGATAAATATCAGAAAATCATCTCTCGGAAGGTGTGGTCAGGGGCAGGCCTGGCTTGCCCAGCCGACTGGGGGCTGGCCCTTCGGGGCGCCCTGGCCTGGTCTGCAGGGTGAGGCTGTCCCGCCAGGGCTCGTACACCAGCGTGTAGCTCTCGGCCCGCTTGACGGTGAACCTGTAGGAGCGGTTGGGCAGCAGGTTCCGGACGTCGAAGGTGCAGGCGGCCACGGGGATGATGCCGCACTGCAGGCACTCCTGCTGTGTCCGTGGGTCCAGCAGCTTGAAGCGCAGCTCAAACTGCTCGGGCACGGCTGGCTGGATGGTGACGAACCAGCGCAGGCTGACCCAGTCCTGGTAGGCCACCGACTCCTTGCGGTCGAACATGACGGGCATCTTGGTGCTCAACATGAGCCGGATGTGCGGGATCTTGGTGGCGCCAACGTCGGACACCAGGCGGTGCTTGATGTGCAGACGCCCCGGCACCATCATGGCCAGGAAGCTGTCCATGACGGCTGACAGGTCCGCCAGCCGCCGCTCCACGAGCCCCCAGCCGGCCAGGAAGGGCCGAGGGTCGGGCGACTCAAGCAGGGAGTCCAGCGCAGCGCGGCCGTGGTCCAGCTGCTCCAGCAGGTCCCCAAGCAGCAGTAGCTGGATCTGGGTCTGGGCTGTGCCCACCTTCTTCATGCGCTGGAACTTCCAGGGGTCGATGAGCTGGAACACGGTACTGGGCAGCACCAGCGGGTTCTGGTCACCCAGGGCCAGGGGCTTGGGGAGGATCTCGATGTAGTAGGAGCACTTTCTGAGGAGCTCCATGCGGGCATGGTGGCGCTTGAGCAACTGGGGGCTCAGGTCTGAGGTCAGGAACTCACGCAGAGCGTTGCGGCGCTCCACGTAGGTCCGCCAGGCCTCGGGCTCCAGCAGCTGCCTGTCCTCAGCCTCCTCTGCCTCCTCCTGGTCCAGGAAGGACTGGGGGCTGTCCAGCTTCATTTTGTCCAGGCCCAGGCCTGTCACCTGGAAATTCATGGTCTGGGAGCCGGGGAAGGGGGAGGGGGGAGGGCATGAGCTAGAACCATCGTACCGGCTTCTGCCACCCACCTGAGGGCTCGCTGGGGGCAGTGTTTGTGTGTGGGTGACTTCAGGCCCACTTCCCCTCCCACTGCTGGGCCCTCTGCCCTCCCCGGGGGCCGGGGGAGGAGGGCTCAACTCTCTGGAAAGAGGCTGCTTGGAGGGCCAGGCGGGCAGGCTGCAGATCTGGGTGCAAGTGGACGTTGAGGGGCCAACACTACTGGTTGTTGGCTCTGATGGCATAGAGCAGGGCTGAGACTGCGCTTGGGGCCAGAACAGCCCGTGCAGAACCCAGCCATTGACCAGTGGTGCAGCCACATCTGGATGGGGTCGCGGTGCCCCTCTGGAGCAGCTGAGAGAACTCAGTGTGATCCTGTCTGAGTAGCACCAGACCTCAGTGGGGGACACCACTGTCCTGCAGACCCTCCATGCCTCACTGCAGGCACAGAGCAGAGGACCAAGGTCTCTGAGAGACAAGGCAGCTGGGGACGGGGCCAGATCGGGGGGCAGGCTGGCCGAGGCCTCAGCTCTGAGGAGTAATCGTGCCAGCTCCTGATGGCTGAGGGTGTGTCCTGGGGTCTCAGGTATAACTTGGAGAGCTCACTGACTCCAGGAGAAAGGCCCCTAAGTGGTGAGGTGTCATCACGCTGCCTCACAGGGCGGGTGCCTGAGGCCAGGACACTTTGCTGCTTGCTCTCAGTCAGGGCTTTGAGCCCAGCAGGGACCCCAGAGCCTGGGTCTCCTTTTGCACCCTCCCCCATGTGGGTTCCCAGCTCTGTGTGTCAGTGGGAGGGGGCCAGTGCACCCCCCAGGCCTGGCAGGCCATGGCCACAAGGCTGGGGCTCCTTGGAGAAGGAGCCAGCATCCCTGGCTGTTGTCCCAGGTCCCAGCCACTTCCAAGCTCAGTGAGACAGACCCAGTGGTTTCACTTGGGAGATCTCAGGTTGTCCCAATCCCCTGAAGTTTGGATGAATTACAAATGGGAGCTGAGAGGCTAAGGGACCCGCCCAAGTCTGCACTGCTAAGTGCAAAGTGAGGCTGGGACTCAAGCTGGTCCCCCCACCCTCCGTTGCCCCCTCCCCCCTGCCCCACCGGCAAAGGCCAGGCCTTGAACTTCCTGGGGCAGAGGCAGACCAGCCTTGGTGCTGCAGAGAGGGTATCAGGGTGAGGTGCAAACAGAGACTAGGACCCAGGACTCCAAGTCCCATGGTGGCCAGAGGCTGTGGCAGATTCAGGCCACCTCTGGAGGGAACTCTTTCTCCAGATCCGGCTACGGGACAGAAGTGTGTTCATTTGCCAGCGGCCTCAGTTGGAAAACTGTCGAGGGGCTGCTGGTGAACTCTGGGAAAGAAGCTGCCTGCCCTGGCGGGCCTTCCCAGACCTACATTCTACTCCACCTCCAACTTCATACCCCTGACCCCAAGCCCACTGCCCCTAAATCAACTTCCACTCGCGCCTGCCTGCCCACCTCCGCCTGCACCCCCAGCCCGCCTCCCCACCGCCTCGAGCCTCCAGCCTCCCCGCGCCCGCCCACTTGCCCTGCCTCC